CAGCGCGAGGGGCCGCATACGGTTCGAGGGGCCAGCGAGGGCGCGGGGGGCTGGAGACGGCGCGAGGGGCGAGCGAGGGCGCTAGGGGCCCGCTAAAGCTCAAGGAGCCGGCGACGGCGCGAGGGGCCGACTAGGGCGCGAGGGGCCCGCTAAGGCGCGAGGGGCCCGCTAAGGCGCGAGGGGCCCGCTCAGGTGCGAGGGGACCGCTAAGGCGCGAGGGGCCCGCTAGGGCGCGAGGAGCCAGCTAGGGCGCGAGGGGCAGGCGAGGGCGCTAGGGGCAGCGAGGGCGCGAGGTCTTAGAACTGAGTAATGAATGAGTAGAGAACCTAGGTACAAGCATACATATCTAAGGGTTGTACTCTCTAAGAGGTGACCCTATACAGTCTATACAAACACTAGATATACTAATGTTTGACACACCCCGTAGACTGCATAGGGGCAGTTCCTGAACAAGCAGCTCAGGGCGGCACTACTAGTCCAGCCACTGAGACAAGGGTCTAAAGACAAGTCAACAGGAGTACATGCAAGACAAGAACAAGACCAGGGCGGCACTACTAGTCTAGCCACTGGGAGAGGACACAAGTCCAGTCTGAGTAAATATATATATAAAGGACAGTACAAAGTCAAGGCCCTAGCAAGTGAGAGACTATAGGAACTAGACCAAGCTGTACACAGTGCCGCTGATGATCTTTAGGCGCAAGCGCCTTCGTAAAGATATCAGCTGTGTTGGCACCGGAGGCCAAATGTACTACGCGAGCCTGGCGCCGCTGCTGTAGCTCGCGCTGGAGGAAGTACCGCAACTGGATATGCTTCGCTCTGCCCTCGAGTCGAGGCTCCTGACACAGGAGGATCATGGCCCTGTTGTCAGCGTACAGGACCGGGGCAGAGCTAGGCCGCTCACCTAAGTCAGTGAGCAAGAAGGTCAGCCAGCGGAGCTCCTGTGCCGCCATGGCACCAGCGCAGATCTCGGCCTCACAGCTGGACTGGGCAACAGACGAGGAGCGGGTAGCTCTCTACGAGACGGCACCGGAACCAAGGCTGAAGCAGTAGCCCTTGGAAGACCTAAGTGTCTCGGCGTCGTCTGCCCAAGAAGCGTCTGTGTGTCCAGTAAGGACCACTGACATGCGTCCTCCTAGCACTAACCCCATGCCCGATGTACTTGCAAGATAACGCAAAACCCTCTTAGCGGCAGACCAGTGCTGCGGTCGGTGTCAACCTGTGGCCACAAAGCGAGCCAGAATGCTGAGAGGGTATGCGAGATCTGGGCGAGTGCAAGTCATCAGGTACATGAGGCAACCCACCAGCTCTGCGTAAGGGCCATTGGGCTCTACTGACTCCTTAGAAACTAGAGCGGAGAGTCTGTGGTCTACAGGCAGAGGGGTGGGCTGTGCGGAGGAGAACTGAAGGCCGAACCTCTGAAGGACCTGGCGCACCAAGTGTGACTGAGTCAAGGTGATGGTGCGCTCTGCTCTGTCCCTGGAGATCTGCAAGCCAAGGTAACAGCGCAGTTCTCCAAGTTCAGTGCAAGTGTGTCTCTTCAGCACCTCTGCCTTCACGGAGGCCAGTGCGTCCCTGTCTCCTGTGGCAAAGACCAGATCGTCCACGTAAACAAGGATGTAGAACGGAGTCTGGCCAGCACGAACGAAGAGCGAGGGGTCTGTGGAAGACGGAAAGAACTGCAGGTCAGCAAGGGTAGCACGCAGCATGTCGTGCCACTCACGCGGAGCGTGCCGCAGGACGTAGACGGGACGCCACAGGAGCCACAGGGCCCCAGGAGGGAAGGTGCCAGTAAAGCCCTGAGGGTGACGCAGAAAGACCTGCTCGTGTAGGCTGCCCTGAAGGAAGGCAGTGGAGAAGTCGAGGGAGTGAAGCTCGTAGTCACGCTGAGCAGCTAGGTGTAACAGAACCCGAAGAGTAGTCATCTTCGGGGTCGGAGCGAAGGTTTGAAAGAAGTCCACCCCCTCACGCTGACTGAAGCCTCTAGCCACGTAGCGCGCCTTGAACATAGGTGGCTCTCTAGGAGGGCGCTTCACCTTGAAGAGCCAGCGGCCATCGACTACGTTCACCCTAGGGGGGGGAACTGCGTCGACGAAGGTTCCGGTGGATCGCCAAGATGCCATCTCCTGCTCCATGGCAGCTATCCACTGAGAGGCCCAGGGTCCCGAGGTCGCCTCAGCGTAGGTGCGAGGGGTCGGGATGTCGAAAGCGTCTGGGTCACCCTCAAGGACTAGCAGCATGGAATAGAGATGGGGAGCAGCCTCGGACAGGAAAGCAAGCTCGAACTGGTGGTCCTCCAGGACGTCACTGCCGAGAGCAGGAGCACCCCCGACAGACGGAGGATAGGCAGGGTCAGAGACCAGAGCTGTGGCGTAGTCAAGGCGGTGGGTAGAGGCGAAGTCAGCGACCGCAGCGACATGAGCGTCAAGACACGAGACCGGAATAGACGGGTCGGAGGACCCGAGGAACAAGAGGACAAGCGGCACGAAGGTAGTCAGACAGAGGAGGAGGCGCAACGGTAAGAGAGGATAGAGGAGGCGACGGTAGAAGGGGAGGACGAGACTCATGGGATCGGAGCAACATAGGGTGAGAGCGCGTGACAGGGGAGACAGGACGAGCGCGGGAGGGACGTGAGGCGGAGGCGTCGGGTCAGGAGACAGAGGAGGGGACACAAGGGGGGAGCGAGGGGGAAGAGGAGCCGGGGACGAGTCCGGCGGAGAGAACGCAGGGCCGTAGACAGGAAGAGGACTAGACGGCAGGAGAGGAACGGACGCAGGGTCGGGGGACGGAAGGCCGAGCAGGCGAAGGGCTGACACCGGCGGGGACTGCTGCTGCGGCAGCACAACACCAACACCGGGACCGCAAGCTGCTCCGCGGCTACCTCCGGGACACTCCACTCCGGCACCCCCAGAAGGAACACCCCCAGAGCCCGAAACCCCCCGAGCACCAGTACCACCCCCAGGGCCACCGGGGCAGGCCACAACAGAAACCCCTGAACTAGCACCCACCCCAATGCGGGCACCCCCAGAGTCGACGAACTGCTGCTGCGACGGCGGCGGCGGGAACGACGGCTGCGACAGTAGGGGCGACGGCGGCTGCAGAGGCTGTGGGGGGGGAGACACAGGGGGAGGGGCAGACAGCGAGGACTGCGCCGCAGGACCACAAGAGTCAGAGGACTCCTCGACCGGGACAACTGACGGGAGAGGGGTGACGTGGGACACACCAGAGGGGGCAGGACGGGGAGGTGGAGAGTGGGGGGCAGGGACCACCGGGGAAGGAGTGACCAGGAACAGGGGGGGAGTAACCGGGGGACCGCGGTGGGGGAAGCGACGGTAGAAGGAGACGGACTCGTCAAAGGTGACGTTGCGAGAGTGAAAGAACCGGTGAGACGGCGGGTGGTAGCAGTGCCAGTCGGACGCGTCAAGGGGGAAACCTAGGAAGATGCAGGGAAGGGTGCGGGCAGTGAGCTTGTCCGTGCCAGAGGCACGAACGTGAGCAAGGCAGACCCAGACGTGGAACACAGACGCGTCACAAGGAGACGCGGTCCAAAGAAGGGTCGGCGAAACATGCGGCTGCTGGGGGTGCGGCCACAGGTTAAGCTGGTGAGCAGCATAGCGCACGGCAAATGGCCACGGAAAATGGGGTGCACCGACATGGATCATGGAGGTGCGAGCCACCTCCATGACCAAACCGATGCGTTGCTCAGCGACCCCATTCTGCTGTGGGGAGACCGGCAGGGTGAACGTCTGGGTGATGCCCTCCGCATAACAGAAGCGACCAAGGGCACCAGAGGCAAACTCGCCACCACGGTCGGAGTGAAGACGCAGGACAGGGAGACCTCGGTGGACGCGGGCAGAGACAAGCCAGGGGATGAGAGCGTCAGGCACGTCGGCCTTGCGCTCCAGGAGACAGACTGTGGTGTAGCGAGTGAACTCGTCGACAAGCACGAGAAAATAGCGCTCTCGACGCGGCCCATGGACGGGGGCGGGGCTTCAGACGTCCATGTGCAGGGTCTGCAGCGGCGCGGCGGTAGGGGGAAACGAGGAGGAGTGAGGGGCACAGCGAAGCCGACCCTCGACACAAGGCGTGCAAGGTGGTGCGGGGGAGGAGGGAATAGCAGGGAACGAACAAGGGAGACCAAGGACGAGACCATGCTGGGACATGTGACGCAGACGCGGGAGCGCAGTGTGACCAAGGCGTTGGTGCGAAAGGAGAGTCGGTTGAGTGAGGGACCGACAGGCAGAATTCCGTCAGACAGCTTCAAATGTTGATGCCGATCTGATGTGTGCCTCAAACGGTGATCAATAAATTGGACCTGGAGCGCGTTGCTGTCTTCTATCAGCAGCAAGTTGAATCATAAAATTACATGAAGATTTGACGACGCTATGGCGGTTTGACTGGCAGGAGGTACAGCAGCCGCTATAGTCTTAGGAGTACAAAAATCTTTGGAAGAAGAATTCGAGGTAGGGATGGTTCCCAGCCTCTACATACCCCAAGAGCCGAGTTCCAAGTTGGTGGTACACCACCACAGAGTCCCCAACCATGAGGAGACTCGAAACAAACCCAACAAGGGGCTACACCAAGTGAAATGTAACACTACTTGACGTAGCATTACAATTTTCACTATTTTAATATTTGTCCACGTCCCTTGGGCTTGAAATCTTGAGCTCTTGGTCTTGGTTCACCAAGATAATTTCTTCTTGAGATGATGAGGGCTTGCTGCACACACCTGCGATGAGATGGACACCTCACACTCGACAAAATAGAGAAAGAGCATGCGACGCGCAAACGACGACTTGACATGCGAGTTATGAAAACTCGCTAATGTCTTGATAGACACAAACCACATTGTGATACACCATTCAAATGCACACACAAGCACTAGATAGCAATGACATAGACTCACACGTAATTCCATGCCATGCATGCACACACACACACAAACAAGGACGACAAGCCGATTGCAAGCCTTAGGGTTGCACCAACAAACTCCCCCTCGGATTGTTGGCCTTAGAATCTGCTCCCCTTAGTTCAGAGCCATCCCAGCAAGCTTGCAACACTTCCAATGCTGCTGCTCAACCAGCCTCTTGGTCATCATATCAGCAGGCTGCGCCGTCGTCTTCATGTAGTGCAACTCCACTTCACCAGCGGTTACCATGCTCCTCACCCAATGCCACTTCACCTTCATGTGCTTGGTAAGGCCATGAAGAACCGGGTTCTTGGCCAATGAAATAGCACCCTGGCTATCACAGTAGAGTGGGGTAGGTCCTTGCTGCTCCTCCCCCGATTCAGCTAGCAAACGCCGCTGCCACACAACCTCTCTTATGGCACGGAAGAGTGCCATGTACTCGGACTCCACCGAGCTCAATGCTCGGTCCACTTGTTTCTTGCTCTCCCAAGCTGTTGGTCCTCCACCAACACAGCAGATGAAGCCTCCCACACTTGTCATGTCCTCTGGTTCTGATGCCTAGAATGCATTAGAGAAGGCAGTGAGAAAGAGCCTCCCGGGTTCGACTCCATTGTTGGTGCAACCCTATGGCTTGCACTCGGCTTGTCGTCCTTGTTTGTGTGTGTGCATGCATGGCATGGAATGAATTGTGAGTCTATGTCATTGCTATCCAGTGCTTGTGTGTGTGTTTGAATGGTGTATCACAATGTGGTTTGTGTCGGTCAAGACATTAGCGAGTTTTTACAACTCACATGTCAAGTCGTCGTTTGTGTGTCGCATGTGTTTTTTCTATTTTGTCGAGTATGAAGTGTCCATCGCGTCGCAGGTGTGTGCAGCAAGCCCCCATCAACTCAATAAGAATTTATCTTGCAGATCCAAGACCAAGATTTCAAGCCCAAGGGACGCGGATAAATATTAAATAGTGAAAATAGTAACGCTACTTCGTGAAGTGTTACATTTCACTTGGTGTAGCCCCTTGGAGGGTTGGTTTCGAGACTCTTCGTGGTTGGGGACTCTGTGGTGGTGTACCACCATCCTGGACCTCGGATCTTGGGGTATGTAGCGGCTGGGAACCATCTCGATCTCGAATTCTTCTTCCTAAGTTTTTTGTACTCCTAGGACTATAGTGGCTGCTGTACCTCCTGCAAGTCAAACCGCCATAGCATCGTCAAATCGTCATGAAATTTCGTGATTCAACTTACTGCTGATAGACGATAGCAACGTTCTCGAGATCCAATTTACAGATCACTGTTTAAGTCAGCGAGCAGATCGTTATCAATATTTGAAGCCGTTTGACGGAAATCCGACTGTGCTCTCTATCTCTCATTATAGGCACCTCTGAGCCTATTGTGACTATAACATCCATCCACACCCTTTCGACGCCTTTGTGCCGCCGCGGAGTATTGCAGTCCAATAGTTGCTGTTTGGCCAAGGTACTTGGCCACCCTCTCTCCAGCTGCTACCTGCTCTTCATTAGGGCATTGGACAACCCTAGCCCGGTAGCAAAGGCTGCATCTGGCCTTGTGCGTATGGCTGCATACATGAGGCTGCCCACCAAGGAGTGAAAATGCCGCCTCTCCTCTTCACCAACACTTTCCTCCGCTGGTCCTTTCACACACTTGAACCCCGAGGGAAGAGGAGTAGCCGCATGACCTTCACTCTTCCCAAAGTTTGCAGCCAAGGCCTCGAAGTACTTCTTTTGATGCACTCGCATCCACCGCTTCTCCACATCTCGCTCAATGTGAAGCCCAAGGTAATAGTTGACGTCACCAAGGGTCTTGCACTTGAACTTGTCTTGAAGCTTCAGCATCACCTCCTTCACAAGGTCAGAGGAGGGTGAGAAAGAGGATGTCATCTAGATAAACCACCATGAAGCTTCTCTGCTCCCCCTCGCCAAGCATGAACAACGATTGATCGGCCGTTGAGGGAGTGAAGCCGATCGCCTCCAAGACTTCCCGCAGCCTGATGTACCATTGCTTAGCGGCTTGCTTGAGGCCATAGAGTGCTTTCTTCAGCTTCCACACTCTGCCACTCCTATCATTGTACCCCTCTGGATGCTCCATGTAGGTCTCTTCCTCCAAAACGCCGTTGAGGAAGGCCGTTACTATATCCATTTGCTTCACCAGCCATCCTTTGATGGTCGCCGCGGCGAAGAGAGTTCAAAGGGTTGTACCTTTCACCACAGGGGCATACACTTCATTGTAGTCCTTCTCTTGCTGCTGATACCCCTTGGCTACAAGTCTGCTCTTGTAGCGCTCAATGTTGCCGTCGGCGTCGGTCTTGCGCTTGAAGAGCCACTTGGAAGAGATCGCCTTCCGCCCCGCAGGAAGGTTCACCAAGTCAAATGTGTCGTTCTCTATGATGCTCCCCATTTCTTCATCTGAGGCCTTCTTCCACTCCTTCCTATTGGGGCCCTCCCAAGCCTCCTTGGGATTTGTAGGTTCCCCCGGCATCTCCACCGGAAAGAAGAAGGCAAAAGCGCACTCCTCGCTTTCATCTTCCGCATCATCGCCTAGCATGAGAGCCGAACTGGTCAAGGTTGAGTTGGCTGGTCCTCCAAGCCGGTCAAAGCTCAACCTATTGGGGGGCTGAGTCCTCCTTCTCCCCCTTCCTTCCTCCTCTGCTGCAGGGACTTGAATGCTCTCATGGCGTTGCGGTAAATCTGGTCGGTTCCCGCGAGCACTTGTAGCACGAGGCAGAAGTGGCGGTGCACGCTCATTACCTTGCTGCACCTCCTCCTCCTCCTCATCCCCATTCATTTGGGGAGATTGCCTCGTGATTGTGCTGCTGCTACTCAGCTCCAAGGGCAGCTCCACATGCTCCAAGCCGATCCTCTTCACCTCTCCAAGCCGCACACCAATCTTCGCTTGGTTCTCCGCCTTCCACTCCTTGTACGGTAAGTTCTCCATGAACTTGCAACCTCTGCTCACCAGGAACTTCTTGGTAAATGGGCCCCATAGAAGCAATCACTTACTATTTTGGGCCATGCCCAGGTGCACGGCCCATGTTGCCTTGGCATCAAGCTTGTTGTGCCGAAGTTTCTTAGGCACAAGTGCCATGCGCATGCACCCGAACACCCGAAGCATATCCACCTTCGGCTTCCTTCCAATCCACTCCACATAGGGCACCCATTTGTCTTCTCCCACGTGAGTCAAGGCTCTGTTCTTGGCCACACAAGGATGTCGCACCGCATCCGGCCAAAAGTAATTGGGAAGACCGACTTCAATGAGAAGTCCCCGAGCCGTCTCCGTGAGTGTCCGATTCGCACGCTCGGCGATGCCGTTCATTGCAGGAGAATAGGGCATGGTAAGAGAGTGCCTTATGCCCTACTTCTTAAGCCAAGTTGAGAAATCCTTGCTCATGAACTCTCCCCCACGGTCAGTGCGAATCGCCTTCACAAGCCGGTCTTGTTGCCGCTCCACCATCGGCAACCAATCAGTCTTCACCGTTTCAGCTACGTCACTCTTCTTGGGCAGCACATATACCCAGGTCATGCGAGTGTAGACGTCCACAATGGTGAGGAAGTACTCTGCTCCAGCAGCTCCAAGCTTCAAGGGGCCCACCACATCCATCACCACCTCATCAAGTGGTGCCTTCGCCGTTGTCTCCGAGCTATGGAACGGGTAGCGGGTGAACTTGGCTTCGATGCATGTTGGACAGCCAAGCACCTCATTGGGCTCCCCCTTGACACGTATCCCACTGACCATCTCTTGCTTAACTATCTGCTGCAAAATGGGCAATGCCACATGCCCCATTCGCCGATGCAAGGTCAGCCAATCACACTCTCCCGTAGCGGAAGTCGGGTTGGAGAAAGCGGCACTCGCAATTGTGCCCCAAAAGCTCTCTCCTTTCTCCTTCGCCGCTGCTGCTTTGCTTATCTTTTGCTTCTCCTCATCATTTCCACCACCTTTGGCTGCTGCACCACTCTCCTTGGTTTCACACGCCTTGCTGGTCCCTCCAAGATTGCACTCCTTCGAGTCACTCTTGGTGTCACTTTGTTTTCCGTGATCACCGCCACCATCCGCTTCACTCTTGGTGCTGACGCTTGCTGCCACTTGCCTCCCCTTAGGCATGGGGACCACTGGGATTTGCCACATCTCATTGTAGATGTTCCTGTCCTCATGAAGGTCCCAAAGCTTCCGCTCACCAAGCCTCGCGGTATAGGTTTTGGATCCCTTGGAAGATGTGTCCATGCCGGCCCCTTGCAAACGCCGCACGGAAATCAGGTTGGCTGCAAGGTTGGGCACCCAAAGCACGTTCTTGAGGCCCACCATCTTCCCATCAGCACCCTTGAACATGGCCTTGCCCATGCCTTTCACCTCTGCTCGCTGCCCCAAAGCCGATGTAACATGCTTGACCGGCGACGGTTCGAGTTCGGTGAGCAAGTCCGCACGAGGTGTCATGCTATAGGTGGCGCCGCTATCGATCACCCAAAAGTCCAGAGAGTGAAGGGTGACCTTTCCCACAGTAGCTGGCTCCTCAAAGCCTTCCACACCTCCTGCTGCAGCTGCCGCTTGCGTGGAGACAAAGAAGAATTGGCCCGGGTATCGATCTTCACTCGAGTCGTTGTCGTAGTCTCCACCTTTCATGCTTGCCGCTTCGCTTCCACGACCACCACGGCCTCCACGACCTCTGCCTCTTCCTCCCCTTGCTCCTCTGCCCTCTTGGCCTTGAGAAGGGGTCCACCCATCAGGCAATCTGAAGCAATCTCTTCACATGTGGCCGGTCTTGTGGCAAAGGGGCATTCGCAATCAAATCGACCGCGCCCACGCCCATAGCCATTGTTGTTGTTGTTGCTGCCATATCCTCCAATACCATGGCCTACATTGAAGTTACTGCTGCCAAATCTTCCTCCTCGCCCTCTGCCCCTTCCACGGCCGTGCCCACGGCCCATGCTTGCAACTCCAGCACCATCGGGACCCGCCAATTCGCGACGGCGGAAATCTTCTTGTAAGATTTCCCGCTTCACATCTTCGAGTGAAAGACGGGGCAGATCTCGATTTAGGTTGATGATAAGCGAGGACCATGAGTCCGGAAGGAAGGCCAGCAGCTTTGTCTTCTTTTGAAGGTCAATGTAGTTCAGATCAGCTCCTTCGAGCCGTGTCAACAAGTCGAAGAATTTCTGCACTCCTTCTTCCACCGGTTCGCCTTCGTCAATTCGAAGTGCCGCCATTTGCCGCTCCAAAACCACAGCCACCGCCGCTGTTGTAGGAGCGTGTACACCCTTGAGAGCAGCCCATGCCTTTGGTCCCTTTGCTGGTTCATGCTGAAAAGGCTTCATGTGACGGATTTGGCTGCTCCCCACGCTTGCCCAAGTAGAAGGTAGCCTTCTGCGCTCTTCCGCACCCACTGGCTCTTCTCCGGGCCGTTCTCGGGGCGCTTCTCCGTTCCTTCCATCACCTCCAGCAGATCATAGTGGTCAAAGATGTTCTCCATCTTGAAGGACCACTCAGCAAAGTTGTCACCGTTGAACTTGTCAAGGCCAAACACTCTAGGCTCATCCCTAGAGGGTCCAAGGCTAGGTTGCACCGGAGCAACGGGTGGATCTTGGTGTTGCCCTTGTGCTTGGGCGTCTTCTCTGCCTTCAGCACCTCTGCCACCCCCTTCCTCAGGTCTAGGCATGGTCGAGACGGCTCCAAGGGGCTCTGATACCACTTGTTATAATCACAATAGGCTCAAATGTGCCTAAAATGAGAGAAATTGTGCAGTCAGAATTCCGTCAGACAGCTTCAAATGTTGATGCCGATCTGATGTGTGCCTCAAACGGTGATCAATAAATTGGACCTGGAGCGCGTTGCTGTCTTCTATCAGCAGCAAGTTGAATCATAAAATTACATGAAGATTTGACGACGCTATGGCGGTTTGACTGGCAGGAGGTACAGCAGCCACTATAGTCTTAGGAGTACAAAAAACTTTGGAAGAAGAATTCGAGGTAGGGATGGTTCCCAGCCTCTACATACCCCAAGAGCCGAAGTCCAAGTTGTTGGTACACCACCACAGAGTCCCCAACTATGAGGAGACTCGAAACAAATCAAACAAGGGGCTACACCAAGTGAAATGTAACACTACTTGACGTAGCATTACAATTTTCACTATTTTAATATTTGTCCACGTCCCTTGGGCTTGAAATCTTGAGCTCTTGGTCTTGGTTCAGCAAGATCAGTTCTTCTTGAGATGATGAGGGCTTGCTGCACACACCTGCGATGAGATGGACACTTCACACTCGACAAAATAGAGAAAGCACATGCGACGCGCAAACGACGACTTGACATGCGAGTTGTGAAAACTCGCTAATGTCTTGACCGACACAAACCACATTGTGATACACCATTCAAACACACACACAAGCACTAGATAGCAATGACTTAGACTCACAAGTCATTCAATGCCATGCATGCATACACACACACAAACAAGGACGACAAGCCGAGTGCAAGCCATAGGGTTACACCAACAGTGGTGATGCCAAGGCCCTGGAGGCAGCCGACACCAACTAGGTTCCTGGAGAACGAGGGGATATGCTCGAAGGAACCGCCGGACAGGGAAGGGTGGTGGAAATGCGAGCGACTACGGGACCGCCGGAGGGGTCAGCAAGAGAAACTGCAGCAGGAACAGGAAGCGGCGCCAGCGTAGTAGAGTCGCGGAAATAACACCGGGGAGCGCCAGAGTCCAAGGTGAAGGAAAGCAAAGCAGTGGCGTCTGGCGACGGGGCGACGGAAGCTACCAAGGCTAAACAAGGCAGAAGCTCCTATGCCTGACGCAGCAGGGGAGGCTAGGCTAGGCACACCTACACTAGGCGACAAGGAGTAATAAGAGGGGAGCACACTAGAGTCAGCAGCATACATCACAAACAGGGCAGAAACAATGGCATCCATGTCCATGTCAAAAATCTGAACTCTACGATTAAGCAAACTGTGCCAGTTCGGGAGGTCGGGCAACGGTCCGAAACGCTGACGAAACAGGTCGTCCAGGCGACGAAAACAGCGGGCAATGGCGTGACCGAGCTTACCGCAAACGAAGCCGTGGCGAGGACGGGTCTGGATCTGGTACTGACAGCGCACGCCTCCCGAACCGCCACCCGGCACACCACCACGCGCACGACCACCACCAGCGCCAGGCCACCCGGGTGGGAGGGCACTCGCCTGCCTCGTCTGCGGCGGCTGCTGCGGCTGCTGCTGCTGCTGCTGCGGCTGCGGCTGCTAGGGCGGCTGCTCAGCTGGACCTGGCAGGGTCCCCTCGTCCACTCCACCACCAGACGACCCGACTCCACCACCACCTCCGTTGGCACCCCCACCACCTCCACCGCGCCCAGCCTTGGGGCGGCGGCCCTTCCCCGGACGGAACTGCGCTGCAGTGGCGGTCTCAGCCACAGCTGCAGAACCATCGGAGAAGGTGCACTGAGCAGGGGCACAACCCTGAAAGATAGGGACCGACACAGTACCGCTCGCTTGGGCGATAGAGCGGTGGCGGGTCTCAATAACATTCAGGGTGTCTACAAAGTCTGTGAGGGTGAGGTCACCAGGGTGAATGCTAAGGAAGCGGTCACGAGCAGCAGCAAGGCGGTCAGGGAGGCGGGTGGCAAGCAGGTAGAGGGTAGAGGTAAGGGGCGGCTGGTGGGCTCTAAGCTGTGCGTCAGTGCAGGCAGCGCGCCAGGTCTCATCTATCGTGCGCAGGTGGGCAGCCAGGTCAGCGACAGTGGGGAAAGACGCAAGGTCAGGAAAGAGCATCGGTAGGATCAGGCGACCCACCGAGGCAGCAGGCGGGGCGGAATAGCGCCGGATAACAGCGTCTAAGAAAGCCTGGGCGGTGGTGATGGACCTAAAGCGAGGACGCTCAGACGGGGGGAGGGCATTGCTAATGGCAAGCTGGGCGACAGCGTCATGAGAAAGCCAGACAGAGCGAGCGAGGGCAGCGGCCGCAGTAGACTCGCGCTCAGCAGGTGTGGGGTCAGCGGGCAGCACAGCAGGGGGGTCTGGGCAGGGAAGCGTACCGTCAAGGTGTGCCGAGAGCGGGTGGCCATCCTGCCGCTGACCAGTGAGGTGGCGGCGGAGGTCGGCTAGCCAGGCCTCGAACTCCAGAGGCTGGCCTTCAGTGTCGAAGCGAAGCTCCGCCGCCATCAGGAACAGTGCAGAGCAAGGCTAGGTGAGGCAGTGCAGCGCGGTCCAGTGCAGTGCAGGGCGGTACAGTGCGGTGCAGCGCGGTACAGTACGGTGCAGTGTGGTGCAGCGCAGTTCTGTGCGGTGCAGGGGGGTGCAGTGCGGTGCAAGGTGATGGAGAACCGTACCAGGGAGGGTGCAGTGCAATAGCAGGTATGGAGAGCGGGTCGCACGCAGATCGGCGGCAGTCCGGCGGGAAGGTGAGCACGGGGCCGGAGATCGACGGGCAGGGCGCGCGCAGGGGTCGGCAGAACGGGCGCGGGGGGGCCAGTAGCGGCGGGCGCTAGGCCGGCGAGGACAGGCGCGGGGGCCAGGTAGGACGGGCGCGGGGCCGGCTAGTACGGGCCTGGGAGAGGAGCGGGGCCGGATAGGACGGTCCTGGGACGGGCCCGGGCCCGGCTAGGACGGGCGCGGGGCCATCTAGGACGGGCGCGGGGGCCTGTAGGACGGGCGCAGGGGCCAGCTAGGATGGGCGCGGGGGCCGGTAGGACGGGCGCGGGGGCCAGCTAGGACGAGCGCGGGGGCCAGCTAGGACGAGCGTGAGGGCCGGCTAGGACAGGCGCAGGAGCCGGTAGGACGGGCGCGGGGGCCGCTAGGACGGGCGCGGGGGCCGGTAGGACGGGCGCGGGGGCCGCTAGGACGGGCGCGGGGCCGGTAAGGACGAGCGCGAGGGCCGGTAGGACGGGCGCGGGGGCCACTAGGACGGGCGCGGGGCCGACTAGGACGGGCGCGGGAGCCGTTAGGACGGCCGCGGGGCCAGCTAGGACGGGCGCAGGGCCGGCTAGGACGGGCGCGGGGCCAGCTAGGACGGGCGCGGGGCTGGCTAGGACGGGCGCGGGGGCCATTAGGACGGGCGCGGGCCCAGCTAGGACGGGCGCGGGGCCAGCTAGGACGGGCGCGGGGCCGGCTAGGACGGGCGCGGGGGCTGTTAGGACGGGCGCGGGGCCAGCTAGGACGGGTGCGGGGGCCGTGAGGACGGGCGTGGGGGCCAGCTAGGACGGGCGCGGCGGGCGCAGCTAGGACGGGCGTGCGGGCGCAGCTAGGACGGGTGCGGGGTCGACTAGGACGGGCGGCTAGGGCCTAGGGCGGAAGCATGGGCAGGTGGCGGGACCTACCTACTGCTGATACCATCTTAGAACTGAGTAATGAATGAATAGAGAACCTGGGTACAAGCATACATATCTAAGGGTTGTACTCTCTAAGAGGTGACCCTATACAGTCTATACAAACACTAGATATACTAATGTTTGACATGAGGGGCTAGCGAGGCGCGGTAGGCTAGGGCGCGGGGCGGAAGCGGGTGGGTGGACCTACCTACTCATAATACCATGTCAACTAGAATGAACGATTGAATACAAGTGGTACAAGGGGGATGTATGTATTCTGGTTGTACCTCTAACAACATACAACTACCTAGCCTATAACTTCTACATAGCAACATCACGGTATGTATAAGTTGACATTAGGCTCCATATTTCCACCTTCCCCAAGGAAAGCCTCCCCAATAAACCCCCTAGAAAGAGAGATGATCGACAGGGTTTTCCCAGTGCCACGACATTTAGTGCCATGCTAGTACCGTACACGCTATCATGAATATATGGGGGAAAAGGATAGAACCCGGGTCTAGTAAAATATGCAGGATACAACTGGGAGAATATGGTGTGGCAAGTAGGTAGGCAAGTATCCTTGCTAGTCTTCCCTACTGCTTGAATCACTATTGCTAGCTAAACTTCATGCTCTGACCTTCCCTAGTACTTCCCACCATCATGTTTGCCATCTGCCCCCTCACAGCCCCATTGGGGAACGTGTTGGTGGCGATGACAGTGTACCAGGAGGAAAGGGGCCGCGAGAACATTCCTCACAGCAGCAGCCAGAGGCCCCCCTCTCTACTCCCATCCCTTATTTCCCCCCGCGCGTCATGTTTGCCATCTGCCCCCTGACCGCCCCGCTGGGGAACGCAGTGGTGGCGATAAGAGCGTGGAAGGAGGCCGGGGCGGCAAGAATGTTCCTCACAGCAGCCGCCACAGAGCCGCCTGCAGCAGCAGAGAGGGACGAGGCGTTTTCCCACACGCCCCTGGCGCCATAGCTGAAGCGAGCAGCGGCAGGGGGACCAGCAGCAGCAGTGTTGGTGGTGTTTCTGGGGCGATGGAAGGGGCGGGTGCTGTTGGTCCACGTGGAGGTGGGGAAGGAGAGAAGCAGCGCGGCAGAGGCGGAGGAGGCGGGGCCGGAGAGGATGGAGGCGGAAGTGGGAGGGGAGGGGGAGGAGAGGTGCGAGAGGGAGAGAGAGTAGTGCACGTCCATGTCAGTGGCGGTCCTGGGAATGTGGGGGGGGGTAGGGGGGTGAGGAGGGGGAAAGGAGGAGTGATGTGAAGAGAACGGTTTGAGGCGAGGGAAGGGTGGCAAGTGAGGTGTCAGATGGCAGAGGTGGGATGGAAAATGAGAGAGGGAGAGAGAGCAGCAAGGCCACACTCACTTGACAATCCTCAGTTCCACTTGCCCACTGCCGTTCACCATGCCTGCTGACCCCACCATCTGGGCCCCGCTCATCCGCGCGCTCACCACACCTGCCACGCACAGCCGTAAACAAATGCCAACACAGACAGCCATCAAACGCCACGGAACGTGAAATCGGATCAGCTCATGTTGCATCGAATTCAGCATGCTACTCACATCCCATTCCTGCATACCACATGCTTCTTACCAACCACGTTGCCTTCGCGCACACGACCGCCCCGACCGCCAGCAGCACGACCGCCAGCGCCAGCAGGGCCAGCTCTGTGCGGCCTGCCCTGGCCGTCAGTGCCGTTCACGGCGCCCCTGCGAGTGCCATTCGCGCTGTGGGGAGGCGCAGTGCCGTTCCACCGCCCGCCCGCCGCGCTCCCATTCACGTGCCTCCTCCCTCCCGCCACACGACTCGCTCCGCCCGCTGCGTCCTGGCCGTCAGCCGATCGCTGCTTCTTGACGCTCGCCATCTGCGGCTGAGCGGCCGACTGCTGCGAGCGAGCGGATGCTTTCCTTCCAGACGGCGATCCGACCGCAGTGGAGTTGCCCGCCCGCTTGTTGGTAGCCGCCTTGGCCTTGGCGTCTCCTCCCGGCGGCTGGGAACGGGCCTTGCTGGCAGCTTCCGCCAGGACTGGAAGGGAAAGAGGTGGGAAGATTGTGAAGGGAAGACATACAGCCAACTCAGATTCAACTCGACTCGGAAGAATCGCACTCCACAGCAATGCGGAACCTGAGAAACGAGAAATTGCAAAGCGGAGCGTGGGTTAGCAGAATGGGGAGTTGAGGCTCCGGAGTGGCAACCGAGAGACAAACTCACTGGCCGTGGCGAGGAGCGCGAGCAGCGCGAGAAGCAGGAGGCGATTCATCGAAGCGGCCATGATGCTTCTTGAAGAAATTAAACCCATAAGACTGAAGCTGTGAGCGGCGCAGAGCAAGGAACTGATTCTGGCGTTGAGAACTGATTCTCGAAAGCTGATTCTAGCCGACGTCGAAATGATGAGAGCGCCTTTCAGCGACAGATGGAAAACGGTAGACGAGGAGAGTAGCAGTCACAGGCCGGTCGAAACTGTTGATGAGAAAATCCATAACGGGCATTTGTTATCTACTAAACAGTGAGCAGTCGGTAGAGGCGTAAATCTGCACCAACATGGACTTGGCATCGGGTCGCCTCGTCAGTGATCAATCTCGTGACATTTCGTGCCGCGAATGAAGATGCAGCACGGAAGCCACCGACAGATGCGGAGGCTTCTACTTCATCAGTTGCAACCTCGACGGATTGCGGGAACACCTGAGCGCTATGACAGCCTAAACTGGGGTTGGGGGGGTGAGATAAAAACTCCCCCTGAAATTTATGGCGGGAAAGAAGAGGCTGAGCTGAATGAGGCGAAATAGGGTTGACCAGTCCATGGAGGAATGAGGTGGGGTGGGGTGGCGCTTGGACGCGCTACAAGACGCGCCAGTAATGTGGCAGAGCTCCAACGAAATAGCCAAGGTGCCATCTCAATACCAAACACATAGGCTCGTTTCTTTAGGTGGGTAGCATGACTTGAAAGTCGAATCATGTGACTATCCCAGTAGTATTCCAGAACTAACATTCTCATTGTCGCACCATGACGGCCCTCATAGACGGTGTAGCGACCAGGGCGAGTCACCGTCGGTCTAGTTGCAATTATATCCCCATAGGATTTTTCAGGGTTGTAAGGAGTAAGACAGCGGAGGTCTTCGTTGGTAACCACCATAGTGAATGTAAAAATGTGAGATGATAATAGCATGAGATGCAGGGTTTATATAGTGGTACACGAAAGGTGAAGACTCTATTCTAGTTATGCACTTACAATAAGTATATTCCTTGTTTAGGGCTCGTCTATGACGGTGTAGTTGTACACGACTGGGGTAACTACCCATGCTGTACAGTTAGGTGTCCTTACTGTCGTGTCGATCCACCTGACCAATCGACTTTTGGACTTCGGCTTGTCTTTTATGCTTCCTTGAGTAAACAGTCAACGAGCGTTGCCCTAGAGATCCTCGGAAGGGCCACAGGCCTCTATGCCTGGGGGGCTATGGGTGTCAAACATGTCCTTGTATATTGTTATAGACTCTACAGGGTTGTGCCCTAGAGAGTACAACCCACTAGGTTATATTCCCCTGTATGCCATGGTTCTACTGATTCGTTAACTTTGACATGGTATCATGAGTAGGTTAGGTCCCCCCGCCCACCAGCGCTTCCGCCATATGTCCTAGCCGCCCCGTCGCCCTCCCGCCCGTGCTGGCCCGTCCACTAGTGGCCCCCCGTCACCTAGCGCCTAGCTGGCCCCGTCGCCCAGCCAGCCTCGTCGCCTAGCCGGGCCCGTCGCCTCGCAGCCCCCGTCGCCTAGCCGGCCCACTCGCCTAGCCGGCCCCGTCGCCTCTTCGGCCCCGTCGCCTCTTCGGCCCCGTCGCCCAGCCGGCCCCGTTGCCTAGCTGGCCCCGTCGCCCAGCCGGCCCCGTCACCTAGCCGGCCCCGTCCCCTAGTCAACCCCGTCGCCCAGCCGGCCCTGTCGCCTAGCCGGCCCCGTCCCCTAGTCGGCCTCGTCGCCTAGCCGGCCCTGTCGCCCAGCCGGCCCCGTCGCCTAGCCGGCCCCGTTGCTTAGCCTGCCCCGTGGCATAGCTGGCCCCGTTGCCTCGCCGCCTGCGGCCCCGTCTCCTAGTCGCCACGCGGCCCTCTCTTCCAGCCACCATGCGGCCATGTCTTCTAGCTGCCACGCGACCCCGTCTCCTAGCCGCCCGCCGGCCCGGTCGCCTGCCCGCCACGCAGCCCCTATTGACCAGCCGCCCTGCGGCCTCGCCACCCAGCCTCCTCGCAACCTTGTTCCTCAGCTGCCCCTATGGCTCCCACCTCGCTTCATCGATCCTTTCCACCGCATTGCACCGCACTGCACCACCCTCCACCACACTACACCGCACTGCACCACACTGCACCACACTACACCGCCTTGCACCGCTCTGCATTGCTCTGCACTGCACTCTACCGCAATCTACCACACTGCACCGCACACCACTGCTTCCTGCCGCACTCTGTCGCTCATTACAGCCCACTACCGCCTTTCTGCTGCTGAAGCAACCATGATGGCGGACTCGGTGCTGCGCTTAGACGCGGAGGGTCAGCCAGTTGAGTTCGAAACGTGGTTCATCGATCTCCGCCGTCATCTCACTGGTCAGCGGTAGGACGGCCACTCCCTGGCCGTCCACATTAACGGTACGCTCCCCTGCCCTGACCCTCCTGCTGCTCTACCCGCTTACCCCATGTCTGCTGACCGTGAGTCCGCGGCCGCTGCTGCCCTTGCCCGTGCTGTCTGGTTGTCGCGTAACGTTGTCGCTCAGTTAGCGATTAGTCATGCCCTCCCCCTGTTTGAGCGCCCCCGCTTTAGGTCGGTCAGGACTGCGCAGGATTTCCTAGAGGCTGTTGTCGCGCGCTATTCCACCCTGCTCTCTGCCTCCGTCAATCGCCTGATCCTGCCCATGCTCATTCCTAATCTCGCGTCTTTCTCCACTAAAGCGACCTGGCGCGCTGCCTGCACTGATGCCCAACTTCGTGTGTTCCAGCCCCCCATCTGCTCTACCCTCTACCTGCTTGCCACCTGCCTCCCTGACCGCCTTGTTACCGCCTGCGATCACTTTCTTAGTCTCCACCCCGCAGACCTCACCCTCACTGACTTTGTCAACACCCTGTCGGCCATAGAGACTCGCCAGTGCTCTATCGCCCAGTCTAGCGGTACTGTGCCAGTCACTATCTTTCAGGGCTGTGCCCACGCCCAGTGCACTTACTCTGACGGTTCTGCTGCTGTCGCTAAGACACCCCCTACTGCGGAGACAGTCGACGTGGCTGCAGCTGCGCAGTTTCGTCCGGGTAAGGGTCGCGGCCCCAAGGCTGGGCGCGGCGGAGGTAGCGGAGGAGGGGGTGGAGGCGGTGGTGGAGGTGGTTCACCCGCTGGTAGTACTGACGAGGGGGCTGGGGTTGGTGCCTCGGAGCAGCAGCCCCAACAGCAGCAGCAGCAGGCGCCGGGTCGGCCGTCTCCCGCCCGGGTGGCCTGGCGCAGGTGGTGGAGGTGGTCGCAGTGGTCGTGCGTGCACCATGACGTCGGGTGGTGGTCCAAGTGATGGGCGCTGCCAATACCAGCTCCAGACCGGTCCTCGCCGCGGCCTCGTGTGCGGTAAGATCGACCATACCCCCACTTGTTGTTTCAGTCGCCTAGACGACCTGTTTTGTCTCCGCTTTGGCCCGCCGCCAGACCTCCCCGTCTGGCACAGTTTGCTCCGCCGTGGTGTTAGGATCTTTGATATGGACATGGATGAGATTAGCTCTGCTTTGTATGTGCTGTATGTCGATGACTCTAGTCTAGTGTGACTGGTTCCTCTTACCCCGTATTGTCTAGTATAGGTGTGCCCAGTGTGCCTAGTTCAGGCTTCCCTGCTGCGTCAGGCGTATGATCCCCTGCTTTGTTTAGCCTAGGCTCCACCCTCGTTCCTCCGACACCCGTCGCCATTGCCGTGCTCTCCTTCACCCTGAACTCCAGCGCTTCCCGGTGTTTCTTTCGGGACTCCATTACGCTTACGCCGCATTCCGCTCCTGCCGCAGTTGCCCTTACAGACCCTTCCACCGGTCCTGTAGTCGCCCGTAGCTCCACCACCCTTCCCTGTCCAACGATTCCTTTGGGCTCCCTTATAGGCCTGCACATCCCCTCGTTCTCTAGGAACCTTGTTGGTGTCGGCTGCCTCCAGGACCTTGGCGTCACCACTATGTTCCCTGGTCACGAGCGGTACGCTGTCTGTACCGAGGCCGCCACTGGTGCTCCCCTCACCACGTTGGCCCCGGACCCGGTGTCTAGCCTGTTCACGCTGGACACCGCGTCCCCACTAGTTGGGACGTCTCCCCATGTGTCTACATCTACCCAGATTGTTGCGGCTTGCTCGTGTCAGTCGCTTAATCACCCGACGCTTCTGTGGCACCACCGTCTAGGTCACCCTCCCCTCACACGTCTTTGTTACATGTCTCAGCACGGTCTTGTCTTAGGTCTCCTTGAGTCGTTTCCCACACTACCCTCCTCACCAGTGCCCCCGTGCACACTCTGCGTCAAGGGCCGGCTCTGCCGTGACCCTCACACCTCCTCGTTCCCCCCCAAATCACCGACAACTGCACCTATCCCCTTTCCGTGTTCTAGCCGTCAGCCCGCCGCTCGCCTGCCGCCGCCACCGCCGTCGCCGCGGCTACAGCAGCTGCCGCCCTGCCACTCCGGCCGCCGCTCAAGCAGCCGCTGCTCCTCCTCGGTCTCCTGCCGCCCACTGCCACTGCAGCTACTGCTGCCACCGCCGCAGCTACTACTGCCCGCTGCGGCTGCTGCTGCTGCTGCCATTGCAGCTGTCATTGCTGCAGCTACTGTCGCCAACTACCGCTCCCCGCCGCCTGCTGCACTGTCGCAGCCCCTGCAGCGGCTGCTGCCCGCCCTGCACCTGCCGCTACTGCAGCCGCTGCTGCCGCTGCCACTACTCCCGCTGCTGCCGCCGCTGTCCTGCAGCCACCCGCTGCCGCTACTTCAGCCCCTGCCGCTGCTGCCCTTGCAGCCGCCGCTACTCCCACCGCTCCGCTGCTGCCTCTGCAGCCGCTCGCTGCCCTTGCAGCCGCCGCTGCCCTTTCAGCCGCCGCTGCCACGGCTGCCGCTACTCCCGCTGCTACTGCCATCCGCTGCCTTTGCAGCCGCTACTACCGCCACTGCTTTTGCACCTGCCGCTACTGCAGCCACCGCCGCCGCTGCCCTTGCAGCCACCGCTGCTGCTACTCCCGCCGCTGCCACCACTGCCCTTGCAGCCACCGCAACTGCCGGAGCTGCCTCTGCAGCCGCTCACTGCAGCTACTGCCGCCGCTGCCACTACTTCCGCCGCTGCCTTTTCAGCCGCTACTGCCGCCACTGCCTGTGCACCTGCCACTTCAGCCGCCACTACCGCTGCTGCCGCCACTGCCTGTGCACCTGCCACTTCAGCCGCCACTACCGCTGCTGCCGCCGCTGCCACTACAGCCACCGCCACTTCAGCCACCACTGCCGCTGCTCCCGCTGCTACTGCCGCAGCTGCCGTTGCAGCCGCTACTGCCGGCCGTGACGGCCCCACGTTGCCTCTGCTCGCCGCGACGGTCCCAGCTTGCGGCGCCGGCCCCTGCTCGCTGCGCTACTGCCGCAGCTGCCTTGCAGCCGCTACTGCCGGCACTGCCTTTGCACCTTGCCACCGGAGCCGCCACTACCGCCGCTGCCGCCGCTGCCACCGCCACTCCAGTCGCCGCCACCCAAGCCCT